TTGTGACTCTAACATTGCTAACTTTAATTTGGAATGCCATTATATGTGAAAAATTGCGAATTTTACGTGAGCTTCTACCTCTTGACTCCCCTTCCAGACCTCCCAGTTTATTCCCTTATCACCATGTTATTGAGCAGATGGAGTGGATAACCGAATTCGCCACTAACAAGGTATGCTCCATTGTGCCTTTCCGTTTCCCTCTCTTCGGTGGGTGCACATATATTAAAGACATGACTTGCATTCCATCATTCTCATTTCAATATATGCTACATTTTAATGGCCCTAAATCAGACAACGTGATAGACGCTTTTACGTGCCCGACTATTCTACGTATTAGGACAATCGTATGTGATACCAGGCGAACAGCAATCATGTGTGTACTATTGTTAGAACAATGTATGGCCAACATTATGTGTAAATTCACAAAACTAAATCAAAATTTATTGTAGCCCAACGGCGGTGATGGACGACTGCACCGTTCGTTTTTAAAAAGAGCATCGTCACCTTCCACAATTTCACCTACCACTGGTTTAACTACAATCACTGAATCACCCTGAATAGGCAACACACATATTTGTGCTTCCTATGGAGCTGGAATTATTTTCGTTCACTTCCGCATGGTCCAACGTTGTGAAATCAACTGTCAGGGTGGAGGACAATCACGGCGTTCTCGAACGCACGTCCACTTCTCCCACACACTTACTACAGAACACAAATTGCGAATCTGTCATGAGTTTAGAAATCTTCAAATTGTCTCAAACATTCTACCGCATACCTTTCCACATGCATGTATATTTTGCAAAGACTTGGAATATTGCAAATCGTTGCCTTAAGATGAAGGCAAAATGTCCAACTTTAGACCGATTTCCCATCTACAAAGTCACCGGTCATCTACTACGATGGACAGTTTCTCTACCATCCTACCACTTCCAATGGTTGTCGCTACAAATGCATCTTCACTAACACCACTCACAATCTCAGCCGAGGCGATGCAGCCGTATTTACCAACTGGTTTTCTGTGGAAGAAAGCATCACGCTCAAGAATCGTGGTGTTCTCATTGCCTTCGAGACGGGTGAAAGTCCCCTCTATGCACCCGCTCTCCTACCTGCACACCTAAACCAAGTGAGTGATGTGTGTAGCGATGCTGGTGTGCCAATTTCTTGGTGTGAATTTTGATGCATTTGTAACCACCTTGTCAATGTGACTGCATCATAATCGCCTTCAGTGTCAGTGTGTTAGAGGACACGATTCATCACTAACCAGATAGTTTATTATTCAAATATGACACTGCAGCTGCGGAAGCAAAATATTTGTATTCGGCTGCAGAACGGTTCACATTTACTCCCCTGCTTCAAGCCTAACCACTCTGTTTGTGGCATGATTTATGTTAGATGTACACAGAAAGGTGCCCAAAATGTTGTTTCCTTTTGCCGAGAAATTTTTTGGTCGCCTATATTTTTGGTCACATTCGAACTTACTTAAGGCCACAAACATCCGAGTTTGACATGTAAATAAACTCCCTTTCACTGTGAACAGAATACGGCTTAGCAGTATGTACTGCTGCCTTTTGATGCCTTAACAAATGCAATTGTCAATGCCTGTTGGG